CCTCATTACATTTATAAGTTTCTTTTCAGCATAGTTTTAAAATGCCAACTATTTTATTTGGGGAAGATGTTTTCCAATATTTTTTACAGGCTGTGGTTTCTCTTTTGTTTTGATTCTCAAGGACTGGTTGACACATTTTGGAGAGAAGATTCTTCTCACAGTAATTTCTCTAAAATGAGATCAGTACAAACAGGATGAACACAGCTCTGAAAAAACACTTAGGAAAATGCCAAAGTCACTTTGTCTCCTGTACACGCGCAAGGCGCTGAACAGATGAGGCCTCTGTAAGCAAATGTGTGGGAATCCCACCTCCACGCGGAGCACACAGTCGATTCTGCAGCCTCCGACGCCAGCGGGTGTTCTCTCACCCAGGCCACTCAGCTGTGGCTCAGTCTACCTGCAAATAGAATCAGATCCTACATGTTGACAGCTCAGTCCCCAAGGCTGCCACCCCCACGTCAGATGCCACACGCAAGCCCCAAATGATTTAATCTGTGCTCTTGATTTTTTTTTTTTTTTTTTTGCAGAACCAGGGATTGATTAACCTGCCAGTAATGAGCATTTTCACACCCCCTCGAATTCCACACATTTGCTACAGTAGCTCACAGGAGTCATGCAAACACTTCACGTTTACTGGTTGATTTAAAAGGACCTTACAAAGGGCAGCAATACACAGCACGGGAAGAGCAGGGCAAGGTGTGGGGAAGGTGCGCATGGAGCATCCAAGCCCTCGCTCAGTGCACCAACCTCAAGGAAGCACCACTCACTCAGCTGCCTGAAGTCCTCCACAGTCTGTCCATTTGTGTTGTCAGGAAGGTCTCATTACACAGGCAGGATAAGCCACAGGCTGGCCACTGGTGACCAACTTAACCTTGGGGAAGAGCTGAGAAAGGACTGAGCTGAATGTCTCAGCCCTCTGATCCTGGTGTGCTTTTCCGGCGGCTGATTCCCAATCGACACCAGCTGCCTAGGAGATGCCAGTCCCCAAAGAACTTGTTAGCACACAAAAAAGGCAGTTTCCTTACCAATGAAGCCTAAATTGAGGTCCAGATCTTTCATACTGAATAATATCCTCAGAGGTCTTTTCTTTTTAGATGGTCTTTGCTTTCCATCCTAGAATCAGGCAACTTCTCTGGAAGTAACAATATTAGATGGGAAGTACTTTTCCATTTTGCACACTGTCTTTTTCCTTGCCTGTGTTTCCTGAGGAAATATGGAACACAGCCCCCTCCACCACTCCCAATCCTTCACGCGTTCAGCAATCCAGGTGGTCATGGAGCCCATCCCTCTCAGGATTTTTATGGGGACTTCATTATGAGGGCAGGATTGGTTATATCACTGGCCTCATAGGTAACCTCAATTTTCCATTCCTTGGCCCATCACAGGGTTTGGAGAGTAGAATTGACAGTGCCAACTCTCTGACCAAGTCTTGATCTTCCAGGGCCGGTCCCCCACCTAGAAGTCCTCATATGAAGCATGCTAACTACCCCCACAGACTGCAAGGGCTTTAGGGAGTTGTTGGCATTGGGGATCAAACCCATGACCTTGTTCTTGCTGGGCAAGTGCTCTACTACACAGCTACTACCTCTCCAGCCCTAATATATTTTTCTTGTTATGTCATAATATCATATTTACAAAACTGGTATCATTTTCAGTTCGAATAGACAAAGTCAAAGATTTTATTGTGGCAGGAATTATCAATGAGGCCAAATTCAGAAGAGTGGGAAGTTATCAAGCAGAGATAACTTGATAACTTTTGCTGCGGAAGTTCTGAGCCCTTTTCCTACGCGTTTCCTTCACTCGGGCTACTCGCCTGCCTACTTTGTAATCTCCTTTACAATAAACTAGTAATTGTATTCTCTGAGTCATCCTAGCAAACTACTCAACCCAAGGGGTGGCTTACGGGAGGGACCTTGATTTATAGCAGGTAGATCAGAATGTAATTTGACTGGCGTCCAAAGTGGAGGGCAGTCTTGGGTGCTGGGCCACTGACCTGTGGCCCTGACCCTGTCTCCAGGGAGATGGTTCCCAACTGCATGCAATCACAAGACACCCAGCCAGTGGCTGCTAGAGAACTGGAGGGTGAGTGGGGAACCTCCACTCCTCAAAATCAACCCAGAAACCTCAGTTGTACTGAGTACATAAGCGCAGGAAAAATGTTTTGGTGTTTCTTTCTCTTACAGTGACTAAAAATCTCTGGCAGGGCCAGGGAGATAGTGCAGTGGTCTAAACGCTTCCCTGGCAAGCCCAAGGACCTGGGTTTGATCCCCGGTACTGGAGTGCTGGCCCTGCATCAAGCTGGCCTCCGAAAGCAGATGTGGTAGTGCATGCTTGTAATTCCAGCCCTGGGGAGGCTGAAACAGGAGGATCACTATGAGTCTGGGCTGCATAGTGAGACCTTGTACCAAATACATAAATTAAAAAAAACTCTGGTAGTATGGGTCACAAACTGTAGTTGCATTTGCTGCCTTCTTTTCTATTACAAAAAAAAAAAAAGGTGGTCTTATATTCTACTCCATAAAAGACATCTGATTTTATATAAAAATCACATTTAAAAATATTTATCTGGGGCTGGGGCAACAACTGAGTGGCAGTGGCAAGCCCAAGGTTCTGAGTTTGATCCCAGGTTAAAACAAACAAACAAACAAACAAACAAACAGCATGCAGTCAGTGTCTAGAATCAAGGTGTGGCACACACTTGCAGTCTCAGCAGGAGGAGTGAAAGTTCAAGCCCAGCCTGGAGAACTTAGTGAGACCTCATTGAAAAACAGGATTAAAAAAGGGTTTAGGAATGTAGCTCAGTGGTAGAGCACTTGTCTGCCATGCACAAGGCCCTGGCTCCTAGTGCACAGTACTATACAAACAAGCAAGACCATAACTTGTATGTTTAATTCCACAGCTTTTTCTTTTCAAGTCTTTAAAAAACAAGGGAAGGAGGGAGAGTGGAAAGGAAGAAAATAGGCAGACAGGCCAAAAGAAGGGAAGGGAAAGGGAGGAGTTGTTTCTAGGTTTTTTTTTTTTTTTTGAGACAGGGTCTCACTATGCAGTTCAGGCTGGCCCTGTGCTCACTTTTGTAGCCCCTAGCCTGGTCTCGAACTCACAGTGATCCTCCTGCCTCAGCCTCCCCAGCGCTGCAATCACAGGCACACACCACCACGCCTGGTTCCAGAGCCAACGCGACATGTGTGCCAGGGATCAAATTTGGGACCTTGTGCTTGCCAGGTAGGTGCTTATCCCTCTCTACTAACTCCCCAGACCAGTTTCTAGTTTATAGAGGCCCATAATTCCATATTTTCTCAACTGCCAGTCTGTACCTCAAGGTTTTATTCATTTTATGAAGTTTAATCAGTTTTAAAGTCACTTAATCAGTTTTCTAGAACTGTCACTTAATCAGACTGAGCAGCTCAAAACAACGGACACTTATCTGCTCTCAGTTCCAGAGGCCAAGTGTCTAGAATCAAGGTGTGGACAGGCCTCGGTGCCTCGAGGGCAGGACCCTTCCTTTTCTGCTCAGTATCTGGTGGTGGCTGGCAGTCCCTGGCATTCCTCGGCTTGTGGAAGCACCGCACCTCATTCCTGCCCTCTTCACGTGCGCTCTCTGTGTGTCTGTGTCACGATATTCTCTTCATGTGAGCCCCGCAGCCGTAGGATTAGAGCCCACCCAGTCCACCAGGACCTCAGCTTAGCAAATCACATCTGCAAAGGAGCTGTTTGCAAATAAGATCACAGGAACAGGTCCCATTTGTGAATTTAGGGGACACTATTAAGCTCAGCAGGAACGGCAAATTCATGGTCACACGTGTGTGGGCTTCTTTGGCTTCTTTCCAAATCAGCCGTCCCTCAGCTTGCATCCCTGAGCAACTCTGGTGGAGACATGAACTCCTGGCTTGTTTCTCTGAAGCCACCCAGTGTCTGTGTCAGTCTGATTCCTGCTCCAGCCTCACGGTACAGCCTCACGGTACAGCCCCAAAGCCAGATGACTGGGCTTTTATGTTTGGTTCTGCCTAGTCTCTTGTTTATTCTGAATACATGGAAAGTTGTAAAATAGTAGAAGCGTTCCCAATAAGGCTGGAGGCTTGTCCCTCAGTTGTAGAGTATGTGCTGAGCGTGCGCATGGCCCTGGATTTTACCCCCACCTCTGACGATTCTCACATGCCTGCACACAGGCTCTCCATAGGGACCTTCTGACCGTGTTTGCTCTTTTATTCTCTTCTCTCCTCCTTTTTCTTCCTCTCTCCCTTCTCTCTTTATATCTATTTGTATATGAGAGTAAATTATTCAAGGTATATTTCCTAAAAGCAAAGTCATAATTTTCATTCATTTATTTATTTTTGGTACTGGAGATCAAACTTAGGACCTTGCACTTGCCAGGCAGGCACGTATGCTGCTGAACTATCTCCCTGGACCCATAGTTTTTAAAATATATGGGCAATACTATGGACAAAATCAGGAAATTCACATTTATATATTATCTAATCTGTAGATTTTTTTTTCCCCTTTCTGAGACAGGGTCTTGCTACGCAGTTCAGGCTGGCCTGGAAATCAAGATGTGCAGCCCAGGCTGCCTTCAAACTCACAGTGATCCTCCTGCATCAGCCTCCCTAGTGCTGGGATTCCAGGTCTGTGCCACCACACCTAACTAATCTGTAGATTGGGTTCCAATGCAACCAACTGTCTCATAGATGTCCTTATAAATGTATAATTTTTTCCAGTCTAATCTAATCCAAACACATACTGCCTTTACTTTGGCCATTTTCATTGACTTTAATCTGAAATAGTCCATTGGGTTTTCTTTTTCTTTCAAGGCACATTAATATTATTACATGTCTTTTTGAGACAGGGTTTCACTGTGCAGTTCAGGATGACTTGAATTCACTTTGTGGCCCAGGTTGGTCTCGAATTTGCAGCGATCCTCCTTTCTGCCTCAGCCCCCTGAGTGCTGGGTTACAGGCATGTGACACCACTCCCAGCCTAGTCATATTAATATTAAATTTTTTCCATGCATGACAGATAAGGCGCCCGCATCATGACAGGGCTCAGTGGAGGAACATCTCACAGAGAGCATAAAACCCCAATCGCTGTGCTTATGAGCCACACCAAGATTCTCAATATTTTCAAGAAGAGTACAAGCCAGTTACTTTTTAGAATGGTCTTCAATTTTGGACTTGCCTGTTATTCTCTTATAATTAAATTTAAATTATTAATTTTTGGTAGCCAGATCACAGAAGCAGAGCTGAATTGTTCTCACAGGATCATATGTGAAAGCACATGATATCCTGAGCATATTAATTTATGGATCTCACTATGATGTCCTGGCCAGGCGCAATCTATTCTCCTGCCTCAGTCTTTTCTTTCTTTCTTTCTTTCTTTCTTTCTTTCTTTCTTTCTTTCTTTCTTTCTTTCTTTCTTTCTTTTTCTTTCTTTCCTTCCTTCCTTCCTTCCTTCCTTCCTTCCTTCCTTCCTTTCCTTCCTTCCTTTCTTTCTTTTGCACAGGGTCTTGCTACACAGCTCAGATGCTTCAGTGATCCTCGTCTCAGCCTCTCTAGTGCTGGGATTACAGCTGTGCATCACCACACCTGGTTTCGGTGGCTAATATGGTGCCCCCAGGTTCCGTGACCAGCATGGCATGCGTAGTGGGGATTGAACCCAGATGCTTGCACTTCCCAGGCAGGTGCTTAGAACGCCAGACTAGCTCCCTAGTTCTGCCTCAGTTTTTTGAGTAGCTGGGAGTAGAGGTGCCACCATGTCCAGCACTGAGCAGACTAGCTTTGATCACTAGGGGAAGATCCTGTACGCCAATTTTCTCCACTCCGTAGCTAGTATTTTTCCCTTTATAATGAATAAGTATCTTCTATGGGGCTGGACTGTAGCTCAGGGGTAGAGCACTTGCCTAACACGCAAAGGCTGTGTATGGATTTGATGTCTCCAGCATGGAGAATGAAAAGGTATCTTTTGTGGAGTTGTTTTAAAACCACATTGATATTGAAGTGTCAAGTTTTCCCCCATTAATATTAACACACATTAGTGGTTCTCGCTTAAAAATGATGATTATGGTTGCTGTGAAATGCTGTCAGCTCTCTTTTTGCTCTTCTCTGAAAGGACGAGCTGCATGCTTTTCCAGCGGTTGCCCAGGCAGCTCCTACTCTGAGGCTGCTGGTGGTCCCTGAGTGAGCCTCCTCTCCAAGTCCACAGGTTCCCCTCTCTCTTTTCCTTGGCTGCAGCTCACAGCTGTATCTTTCATGCAGTACTCTGTCCTTTCGCTTCTTTGACACTGTCCTCTGCTGGTTCTGTTTTATTGGCCTGTCTAGCCTCTCTTTAAATTTTTTTTTTTAATGCACTTAGTATAGGGTCTACAGGGTCTCACTACCCAGATTGGCATAGTGATGCTCCTGTTTTCAGCCTCCCAAGGGCTGGGATTACAGGTGCAGGCCACCACGCCTAGTCTTAATCGCCATCTCAGTGCTGTGCGCCCCGGGGGCAGAGCTGGCACTGCACACACGGAACGGAACCCCAGTCCTTGTGCCTGCCAAGGCACTTTATTTGGCTGGTCCTTAACTTTTTTTTTTTCTCTTCTTTTTTTGAGATAATGATTTGTAATGTTGCCTGCCCGACCTTGAACGCTGGGCTCATGCAATCCTCCTGGCTTAGGCACCTGAGTAGCTGGGCCCGTGGGGGTGGAGGTGGCAGTGTGGCATGTGGCGATAAAATCATACCTAGTGACAGCTCAGTTTCTTCCGATGGGGCCCTCTTTCTTGTTCACCTCTAAATCCAGCATCTTTCATGAACCTTGTTTAAGACTTGCTTGTTTCTCCCTAAATATACTTTCTCTTCAAAACTTTTTTGGTACAAGGTCTCACTACACAGCTCAGACTTGTACTGATCTTGTTTTCAGCCTCTCCAGTGCTGGGATTACAAGCATGAGCCTCCACGCCCTGACTCGGTGGCCAGCTCAGTGTGCCAAGGGCAGACTGGCACAGTATGTGCCCATCCCTGCACTTGCCTCAGCGGGTGCTTAGTCTGATGAGCCATCTCGCTGGCCCCTGTACTTTCTCTTCGTATGGTCGTTAGATGGCTGTGCCTTGTTAGACTTCCTCCAGTTCTGTATATTCAGGCAAATGCTTTACCAATGAGCTACATCCAATGTGTTTCAATACAATTTCAAATCTGGTGAACCCTAATATTGTATTTTTATCCCCTACCTCTCCCCTGAATTCCTGCTAAGAGATAACTTCAGAAATGTAACATGACTACAAAAGAACTCTGGATTTTCTAATCTTCTATCTTCCAGACTCTAAGTTAAGGGTCAGCATTTACCTAGTCACTCAAATATCAACTCTGGAAATTATTCTTGATCCCTCTCTTATGATTAGCAGCATCCACCTCCCGGTCCAGTATCTTATCCATTTGCAAGTGTTTTGCGGCCTCACCTCCCACATGTAGCTGCAGTCCTGCAAGTCCCCCAGTTTACTCTCCTGTTTTGGCCACAATGATTAGCAGATATCAGGACAGGGTCCGTTTCTGTTTCTTTCTCAACAACATAAGTATCCAGAACAGCCAAAGTTATCGTCAAAGAAAATAACCGCTTCACATTCTTGCTTTAAATACCCTTAAAGCAACAGCAGCACCACCATTCTACTCCCTTACTTGCACTTAAAACTTCAATACCATTGCCTTCAAAGCTGTGTATTATTTGACTCTGTGTCCCCAAGTTGTCTTTGTCACCACACCTTTGCCCTGTGAGCCAGCAACTCTTGCCTCCGCATTCTTTCAGGGAGTTAGATGAATCCTCCGCAGAGCCATGGACTTATGTTTTTTCCTTTTGTCTGTAGTATCAATTGATGAATCTCAATGTACATAGTAGAGTACCCAGCTGTTACGGTTTGTGTCTATTTGTCCCCCCAAAGCCTCATGCAGTCATGGGACAGGGACTTCTAGAATTCGTGATTAACTCATGATCCACAGAGATTATGGGTCTTAGTACTGCTGGGATTATGGGAGTGAGTACTTCCCCCGCCTGGGACAGATAGCCTGAATGTGACAGCAGAGACACAGAGACACAGACTCCCCTCTCTGTTGCATTGTTGCTGCTACTCCTTTGTTTTGGTCTCTTGCTCTTTGCTGCCACCATGACAGGTTGCTCTCTGCCATGTGTCGCTCTGCCTTGGAACCTGCTGAGTTTGGACTGAAACACTGAAACCTCCAATAACTGTGAGCTAAATAAACCTTTCCTTCCTTCGTTTTGGGTGTTGGGTATTTGTCCCAGCAACAAGAGAAGAGTAACTGAGATACTGGCATATAGTAAACACTCAATGAAACCTTTTCAATAGAAGAATGAATTTGTGCATGTCATGCTTTTTAAAAATTTTTGATGCTATGGATTTTACACTTGCTGTTCTGGAATGTTCTCCAAGATCTTAACATAGTAAAACATGGCTGCATTTGCTCCTCTACCCAATTCCTCCAATCACTGAAGTCTCAGCTTGCATGTTAGTGCTTGGTACCTGCCCCAGATCCTCAACTGCTTTTTTGAGGGGTATGGATGAAGAAAACAAAACAGAAACAAATGTAGTAACGCAAAAAATGGGGACTGGGAGGTCAGTGCCTCAGGGTAGGCAAGGACAAAGAACTCTTTGGCTGGCCACTTTTATCATTTTTTCTGGTGAGCAGTGCAGGGGTAGGGGGGCATGCTTTTCCTGGAACAGTGTGGAAGTGGTGGTGCAAGGGGCAGGTTTAATAGCATAGAAGAAACAAGTGAAGACCCCTTCCCACATCGGGGTGCTAGTGCCTGCCTATCCGTGTCCTCAGCACACCTCAGCCTGCCCTGTGAGTGCCGCAGCCTCACTGGTCATCACAACTCCAGGGGTACCAGGAGTAAATGGGGTTTCTGCATTCCAAAAGCGACCCACAAGGCAGGACCGGCCTGGGCCTCGGAGGGACTCTATCTTTCATTTATCATCGGTGGCCCCCTATGTTAGCACCTTAGAGAGAACTTTTCGGGCCCCTCCTTGAACAGTCAGCATGCCCACTTAGCTTTCATCCCAGTACTCATTAGCATCTGGAATTATTCATGAATGTTCCATCACTTCACTGGAACAGAAGCTCCACGACAGCAGGTATTTCTCCTTGTTTAGGACAGCAACTGGTACACAGTACCTATTCATTCAGTACTCCCTAACCCCAAGGTACACATTTACTGTATGGAATTTAAAAAAAATATTTAAGCCATATAAAAGTAGATTCCTGAGATTCACTCCAGACTACCTGAGTAAAAAAATTGTGTGGGATGATGCTTTCTTGTAATATTTGAATATTACAGCTCTGAAGCTGTAGAACATTTCTCTAAGACCACGAGCAAGAGTAGCTCTGGCTCTCCAGTCCAGATAGTTCATGCTAGCGCCCTGACAGCGACATCACCAGTTTGAAAGAGCCCACCTGCCATCTTAGAGAAATGCGGATTTCATTTTCCTTAGGTCACAGAGGCCATGACAGTAGGTCAAGGTAGACATGTCAGCAGGCCACAAGCACCCCTCAAGGACATGGCAATAGATTACAAAGGACATGTCAGGAGATTACACAGGACAAACCTGTCATTTCTCTGACCCACTCCCTTAAACGCCCTCCCAAAATTGTTTTAATAAATTTTTAAAAATATTTGTTTATGTATGTATTTATTTATTTTTGTACAGGGTTTCACCACCCAGCTCGGACTCATAGTGATCCTTCTGTTTTCAGCTTCCCCAGTGGTGGGACTACAGGTGTGTGCCACCACACTTGGACTCTTCACCAGCTCTGCACGCCCTTGAGTAGGCTAGCACAGGGCTCAAACCCTGGTCCCTGCACTTGCCAAAGCAGGCAGTTAGTTGGCTAAGCTGTCTTGCCAGCCCTTACTTTTAATATTTTTTTGATAGTTCAAATACTGTCCTTTTATTGTAATATATTGCTTCAGATCCTTCCCATTGCTAAACATATATTTTTTTTAGAAAAAGATGAAGAAAAATTGACACAAACTATTGTGAAATGACAATTTTTAAACTGAAAATGACTACCAGTTTACTTCAGACTAAGCCGCTTAGCCTGGGAGAGACACTCTCTGTTCTGCTGCCATACAGAGGTTCTCAGGTTTAAGGACAAAGCTGCTCGGACTGTTGGGTTTGCACCCCTCCTTCCCGCTCGGTCTGCATCTCACCACCCGGCTCCTTTTGGTTTCTTGTGTCTTGTCTGCTCAGCCAGCCTCAGAGGCGCCCAATCCATCAGAAGGGACGTAATAACGAGATAACCTCCAAAGCAGGTGCGCTTGACAGATGCCCAGGGATACAAGGTGTGGCAGCTTCTCCAAAGCCTGGGAAGGGCGAGCATCCCAACCGCTCTCTAAACCAACATCGTCTGTCCTGGAGCGTGCTGCAGCGTAAACGCTAAGCTCTGCCTCACTAGGCGCCCTCTGCTTTGCCTTTTCCACCACGTGCGGCAAGGTTGATCACTGAGAGGCTTTACTCTAAGTTCAGGGCTGCCTGCGCAGCATACGACGGAAGACCAGGACGTGTGGCTTATGGGGCACTCATCTTGTTTTGAATTTTAAAAAAACAGAACACTCTCTTCTATGCTGCTAAATGAATTATGCACCTCCTTTCCTCGGGGGGGGTTTTGCTTGCTTGTTTTTTCTCACCTTTTTCTTGGTTACCCAATAATGTAGCTGTGTTGTAGGTTTTATCATCATTAACACGTCTCAGGGCTGAGAAAAGCACTTTATTCGGTATTTTAAAGATCTCACTTCATCTTCAAAACACAGTAAGGTAGATCGTATGCACGGGAAAGCTGTTCTCGGAAGGCACAAAGGTCCAAGGTCCCCGAGGGCTTGCTGCCCTCCCCGACAGAGGGCGGCCGGGCCCGGGCGCCGCACGGCAGAGCCCGGATTCATCCCGTGCGCTGGGCTGTCCCTGCAATCTAGAGGGCGCGTGGCCCAGCGAAGGCTGAGGCTAAGAAATGAGTGAGTCCAGTCATTTGATTATAACACGTAATGTTTGGAAAAGTGCTTCCGCAATGGCTAAGGGGAAGGGAGAGACACAGCGAAGGCGCCCCGGTTTGGCAGTGACGCTGACACGGCCCACGGGCCAGCAGGGTGCGCGGCGCTGCACGGCCGCACAAGGCGCCGAGGCCGGGTCGCGCGCCCCGCAGGCAGGCGGCG